CTCATTATCACACCAAACAAGATAGCTACTAGTTCTATCACTGTTGTTTGGTGCCATAGAAAATTGTGTCTATAACAAAAGGCAGAATATGGAGACATTTCAATATGTATAATTGTATGTTGTCCGTATCCTATTCGTATACATCATACTTGCCTGTTCTCCTAAATTTAAGTATATACACACTGTGGAAGGTGAGAATAACTATTCCCAGAACAATTGGTAGAATAACAGTATTCCATGGTTCACGACTGTGATAGTGATGATCCATATCGGAATCGATGTGTGAACAAAAGACAGACTTACTAAACTAATATAAATCACACGTGCGTATTAGATTTGTATATAATTTTCCCTTTAGCATACATGCACTTTACAAAGAAAATGTAGACATCTGTTACAGAACCATGTATGATAAAACGGTTTTCACATGGTAAATCCCTTGAAATCACTAGACGCACATTTAACTTGACGTGGTATTACCAACTATTTCCTTCAATATTTTAATTTAATTATTCCATTTCACGCTGTATTTATACGTGTTCGTACTAAAACGTGACAAATTATTGGGGGGGGGATTAGGATTAAAATGTTTAAGTAATCAAGCATTTCAAAATGTTATATAGTAGTTTGGGATTAATGGCATGAACTAAATAGTTTTACAGACGTTTTCTGAATACCATCTGATAATATGAGGTTATTACGAGGATACCTCAAAGTATGCACGAAGTTATTCTAAGTTTCATCGCTGTTTATAATACCAAATCCGATCACTTGTGCCATGTGTGAATCTCGTACTCACTTTACCTACTCGTGTAAATGCACCTTCACATTTACTTTCACTAAATAATGAAAACGTTTTTTGTCATATGTTTCATCTCAGCTAATAGCATATTAATATTTTTTAACAGTTCATGCATGATCAGTTTACTGTATTAAGTCTTGTGTTTATATGAAATCTCGCCTTTATATATCGATATATTTTTTTAAAGACTTTTAAGATTCTTGTTTAGGATTTCATATAATATAATGAAAATTTATGTAGATAATCGACGCTCGAATAGACGATGTTTCTTAAAATTATTTTCCAGCCAACAGGAAAACGAAAACAATTAACAAACACATAAAGGAGTTATAACTGTCTTCAATACAACCATTGATTGTATACATTGCGCCTCCTTGAGATCAATTTGAACAGACTGCAGTGCGCCCTCTGGTGATCTATTTTATCCAGGCTGTGCCAAAAGAGAAATGCATTGTCTTGTACATAGTATATTCTTTTCATAATTTTCATCGATTACCAGTCATTTAACTTAAAGCGACAATCGAATAAACCATTTCCTGTGTCATTACTGTCAATTTGTAGTGTTTATTGCCAACATCGTGCCGCGTTATGTTCGATATGGGACTCATAGCGACGCATACCGGGCAACGCGTGTAAAATACATTGTTTACATGAAATTCGAGCACGCGCTGCGCGACAACCACTGCGCTTTAACACTGAAAGCATTGCGTATACGCTAAATAGCGACGTCATACCGTAAACTACTTTATTTTTTGCACGATCCTACTCCCGCAGTTGTCGGGGAAAGAGAGAAATAAATATTAAAACGAGCTCTTCACGCTTGGACGCTCGTCCGTGCTCATGGTCGCCATCTGTCTGTGACGTTTGAATTTTAACCAATCATGCTAAATTGCTTTGTTTATAAATGTCATTCTCACCTGGCACGAATTTAAAATAATAAAATGTGCTGATCGGATGATAAACCGCTTTTGTGAGTAATACAAAAACAATAATCAAATGGAAGTAGGCAAGGAGTTACTGAGTACACAATAAGTACAACAACGTGACAAAAACAACGCAATTTACGTCATGAAGATCTATTTCGATTTTCCCAACAACGGATTTATGCAGTATTCAATTCTCAATCGCTGGTGACACAAATTATCAAAGACATAAAAAAATTCTAAATGAAGTCGTTTTAGAAGAAAACTACTGTAAATCAAAAAATCCCGATAAAAAGTAGCCGAACCCTTAGTACTAGACCTTGGACATACTCTGATGCATGCCGGTTACAAAGACGATTCTGATCGAGGTAACCAAGATGGTAGCCCAGAATGCATGACGTTTAAGAACAACATCTTGTTGACGAATTTGGTGTTATTTCTGTTATATTTATTTTCTATTTTTCGTTAATCGAGGATTTCACTTGTGCGTATTTTGACACTGGAAAGTTAAGTGCAAATAAACGCAATAGCAGCGGTGATTGCATATTGCATCGCAGTGCTCTCAGCTGGCAAGATGGTAATCGTAGCGTTAAAGTTTAGATTACTGAAAAACCGTTAACTTCGGTTTCGAAATATTGTTACAAAAGAAAAACGTTGTGGGACCATGTTTTGTATTATCATCCACAATGAACAATGTAACCGACGGACCAAGAAGAAATTGTGACATTGTTTTGCGGGAATATAAAACATATTTTATTTTATAGTTTTATTTCTAATACGCGACTCTCTCTCTCTTTCTCTCTCTCTCTTTCTTTCCGCGGTCCCCATCTTGCCATCTAATTATCTACCTTGGCGCCATATGTATCTCCTCCTACATACCTTGGAGTAAAACTATTTGATATATTTCATTTTCCTCAGCTTGATTGTGTGCATAAAGTTACTATTTCATTCTTTGATATCATTTTTTGTTGTCAAACAAAAAAATACCTAAAAGTGGGAGTAACGTTTTTTTGCCAGTAACAGCTTTTTAAATTGTTGGTGACTTTAATGTCTGGACTGACTTTGTAAAAACTTGAAAGGCTGATCACAACTGCACTCTAGTTAAATGGACAACTTGAAAAAAATACAAATTCACAAAAGGATTGTTTGTGTTCTCTGTCGAATCGCCAACAAACCTACCGGCTAGTATATTAGTAAGTTAAAGGCCCAATTCACTTGCCCCGGGCAAGTGTGAATTGGAGGTGTGGCTATGGTAATGAGTGGTGTTAATCACTTGCATAGATTATGACGTATTCTGTTTCAGCGGTCCAACATCACGTGACTTTGATTGACAGTAGTAATTATTCAAGATTTGTCGCGCGTTCCTTTCCCCGGTTCATGTTTTTTTACTTTAACCGCCAAAATCTCAGCTCGTACATTATTTATTGTCATAAATACTGCACACAGTCACTGCTGTGATATTCATAGTCACATGCATCCACTTTGGCATGACATAATAGACTTGTAAGTTCGAGCATAGACCCTCTAAGGGTCTATGGTTCGAGAAAACGCGTTTTTACCGGAGCTTGGCTGGCGTAACAAGCAAGGAAATATTTATAGTATACCGACCCCATCAAAACACTGGTATGAATGACGTGTTTCTGATTTATATATTCAAGAGCAGTTGTTCTGGTCCAACGATTTTACATAAAATGTCTATGTCTATGTCTATACGTCAACTTTCAATTTCAATAGTCTAGAAAGTATGACAAAGTATGACAAAGCAGTAATTCCCGGTTTAACGCGCAAATATGCAAATTAGCCTTTTTCTCGTCTTCTATTTTTGGTGAATTCTTGGGTTTTAAATTAAAATAGCTGATAGACGCTTTGGCCATTTGCCTCGAAATTTTCACATATTATTGACAAGGTGTTCCCCCTTCAAAATGCGTCCGGACAGTTTATTACGGCGAGTGGAACAAAAATAACAAGTCCGCAATTAACATGGATATATAAATTATGCGAAAATAGAAAAGAGTGAACTTTGAGGTCATGCTGTGCGACTTTGAAAGTCGTTAGAGAGATGAGTGGACGCATTTGAATTAGTAGTATACCAAGGTATCCAGTGATGTAATTTTACCCACAAACGGACTTGAAGTTTTTAAGCTATTTTTTTTAAAACCACTTTTGTCCAAAAAAGCATATTTTTGACCCAAAATCAAAAACGCATTCTGGATATTTAAAATAAAGACAAGTTTTACAAAGTTTGTATAATAAGCTTTCAGAAAATATATAACATGTTGGATATATAATACCATCTTCATTGTCTAATTACTCAATTAAAAAGCAAGCCAAATAAACTGCATCTCTACCTTAAGTTACTCCCGGGAGTATTGAGCAGCAAGATTATAAACTCATTCCGACAAGCTCGGTTTATATAAAATTATTGATTTCCTGGACTGGGTGACTGGGTGCTGACGTTACCACGTGTAAAACCAGTGTAATTCTCATTGGCAGTCCTTTGGTGATGATATCCCATGAGTCTCAGAAAGTGACACTCTGCTGTCACAAACACTCTTATGTATCACAGAGTTTTAATTTTCAAGCGCGTTCCAAATAAACTTGAACATCAATATATTGAAACTATCGATACTAGCAGTATCCATCCATTCCATTGCTCCACGCCTTGGTGGGTAAAGTCAGTGTGGCATGGCACTGATGGATATGGTCGGTATATGATACAGGGATGGCACTAGTGGGTAAGTCAGCATGAGATAACTAATTACTGTCAATTTACTATCATGAGTTTAAGGAATATGTTTTGTAAGCAACCAACTATATTCCTCGTATCGGATATACATAATAATGTATATCTTCTTTATGGAGGCGCCCAACGGAGGCGGAATTACATTGGTAGAACAAAGATATGTAACAGAAAAAACATCCATGTACGCCATCAACGTTCATAGTGTCCTCACGTTTATAGATGCGGTGCTCGTGATGTATTCACGATATAGGAATGTTTTCAATTATCCTAAAATGTTACAATCAGCGAGAAACAAGATCAGAGAAACCCATTGATTCTGTTCAATTCTTTAAATGACAACTAGCTTATCGCATGCCAAGGGTTTTGGATTAAATTCCGGATTAAATTCTGCCTAAGGCTTAAAGAGTAATATATTTGAATATAGCCGCCAATCAGTAGGCCTTTTTACTAATGCATAATCGTACCTTGAGGGCGCAATTTGCTCAACAGTATGTTCAGTGCACGGCGTACTGCGCATCACTTCGTGTGATGCGCTTGAGAAGACCGTCAGTGCGCTGCCATATTTATGTTATCCTCGACTCAACACCGGGATTGTAACAGAATTCGAACCGTTTGAACGTTTTCTGCTTTGGAAGAAAGGCCGTTACTTGTGTTAATGAGGAAAATAGTGTGTTCGGGAACCGTTAGATGAAAGCGAAACGTCGGTACCATCAAAACTCCGTACTGCTGACCGGGAGAACCAGCATACTATAGCGCACAGGGAAACATGGGTAATATGGTCTCTGAAGAGAACCCATTTGGACCCGGTCAGATTGTCGAGGGGCGGCAACGAGAGGCGGAAAATAAACTTGGTGAAATTCAGCTGAGTTTTAGCCGACGGAAAGGTCAATTAATAATCGAAGTGGTCCGAGCGCGAGGGCTAACACCAAAACCAGGACGGATAACCCCAGCTGGTAAGATAACATCTCACGCAAGTGTATTTTTTTTTTTTTTTTTTTTTTTTGTATTTCATTGCGTTTTTCGTATTATATTTGTTGGTTTTATCAGCTGGTAAATCAAGCGGCGTGCGATGGAGATATAAAATAGAGAACAGTATCCACGGCGATGCGACAAAAACGCTCAATTGCCTTAATATGTTATCTCTAATTAAAGAGAGAGGCATTACGAGTGTAATCATATTTCTGGTTGCCCCCGTAGATACATTTAATTGAATATTAAATCAGTTGGCCTTGTATTCGGAATTATTCCTCGTGTATTATTGGACGCACTATAGGAACATGCCGATCGACGCTCTTATTAGTGTCACGTCACAGCCACACGTCGAATTAATTGCCCGTTTTATGTGATATGTTTGTTATGTACATCATAGTGGACAATATTACCGGATTGGAGTACGCATTGCCTAGGTAATTACTGAATGTATTTAATCTGTTATTGTTAACGAACTGCGTTTCTGGATTCTTTATGGATGTAAAATGATTGCTTGTCGAACAACTGAATGGTCGTGAGATTTCAGTCCTCATTTTGATACACGAACTTGTAATATAACGCGGTAAGATACGAAGGTGAATTGTGTTAAACGGTGTATAGCAATTCGCGAATCGGATTATAGTGTTCGTGTCCAAGGGCATTATGTTATTAGTTGCAGATAATGGAATGGGTCTTTTATTCTACTGTTTTTTTTTTTAGATTTCCATTTTCAGACAGATTTTTTTCGGTTTTCTAGGTAAATTGTAAAACGCATGTGTACGGACTATTTTGGGACCATGCATGTTACGCATCACCCCCCCCCCCCTTCTCCAAAATACAGCGTAGCCTGTACCCGTAGCCGCGATCAGTGTGAAGTTGTATATCCATTATCAAACACCGGCTTGTCTCAAACTGTTGCGTTTTATATCCTTAAATGTGAGCCCAACTTTTTAATATATTTTATCAAGTTTGCTTTATTTCAAAAAATGATTTTATGATAAATTTAAAGACAATGAAGTGCCATTTATATACATTTAAATTTGCAAATGTCGATTGAAAAGAAGATATAGTCCAACTCATCGACCAAATAGGAACACAGCAAGTTAGCATCATACATTCATTCATTGACCGTGTGTGTTATTCAGTTTCACTTAATTTAAATCAATTCAATTGCACTGTAACTGGACGTGTGTTTCCATTCGATCACAGTGAGTTGAGTTCTGAGGGCATTTATAATTCGACTATTCAACGCCCGTCTTCTAAATATCTAATAGCTCGTTCAAATTTCAGATAAACAAACATCGAGTTTTACACGCGTCGCATGGGTCCATATCGAATACGGTGCGGCGACTATTACGCCCTGGCAAATCAATAACAGATTCTTCAAGTAAAATGAACCGTACCGTTTTCTTTCAATCCGGATTAACAATGTCATATAGAATAATAAACATTTCAAATAAAAAAAATGAAAACAAAAAGTTTCAATGCGTATTTTTTTTTTCAAATTTATCAAAATTACTAATGCTATATTCTGCTATGTTACCGTGTTAGATATTTCATTCTCCCCGTTAATTGTTGCCGTTATTGTATTGTGGAAATCGGAGAATAAGCAAAACCGGTTATCATGGCAACGCCGGTGCGCATATTGTCAGATTTTCACTTTCCATTATTGCTATCGTATTGCTATCACACAGTGTTTTGCTCGTGTCTCAGCTTGCATGTGTTCTAAATGACATACGTCGAACCCACACGGTGAATGTCATTCACTCACCTAAACTCACCAATACGTCATGCCAAAATAACCTCCGTATGAGCTTCATCGTAACCAAGGTTACCGTGATGAGAACATCCAAATACATGGGTGGCCGTGATATATACTAGATCATTAACGAAATGTTTTGACCCTGTAACGTTCCAACTCGGCTATAATCTAAACATCAACTCTGTACAATAATAACAAAAATTCAAGAGGGATTGGGCATGCTGGAACTAGACAATGTCACCCATCATTTCGTTGCCGAGAAATACGAAAACATAATTGCATATAAATAACACCATCTGTGCACGTTGTTATATTTTATAAATACTACATAGTAGTTCGTACAATTGAATATGCGATCGTGTTCTAGCATTACCCGTTTGGCCTGACCTCGTCCACAACATCGCAGTCTAACAATACTAGTATACCTTAAACCTAGAGGTAGGATAGGCTTGCTTCAAAACTTCAAAACATAAAATTATTCTCTGAAGGTAAAAATAGGCCTAATTACCCCCTCTTTCTAATAAGCATTATTGAGATATTCTGACATACCCTATCGTAGGGAAAACAAAGGAGTCACAAATTATACCCCATGCATGCCCTCCGATTGACGACGTATTTTGCTTTAAATCTCGGGAAACTCATATTCTCGTTCACTTTCTAAGGGGAGCATCTCTCTATTTGCATAATTTTTCAGATAATTGCCTCCTCAGCAGTTCCCGTTTCAGAAAATTCAAGAACGCGACGCGTTTGGCCACTGGCGAGATGAAGTCTCCTCAATATTTCCCGTTTCAGAAAATTCACGAACGCGACGCGTTTGGCCACTGGCGAGATGAAGTCTCCTCAATATTTCCCGTTTCAGAAAATTCACGAACGCAACGCGTTTGGACACTGGCGAGATGAAGTCTCTTCAACGTTTCCCGCTTCAGAAAATTCACGACCGCGACGCTTTTGGCCACTGGCGAGAAGGAAATGTAAATAGTCTGAATTATAATCTGTGCCCTTATGTCAAATGTTTATGTGATTTATCCGACACGGCGCTGTTATGTCGCGGTGTTGGAGATGAAGAATAACAATGCATTGCACGTTTACCAGATTAGTAACAGGTGGCAGAATGAAAAGGTTTTATAATTTGAAAACGGATTATTTAAAAAAATGTGACTGTATGTTTACACCCAGTCAGTTGAATACGTGTTGTTGGCGGGCTCAGTAATGGGCATGTTTACTTTAACATTTATGAAAATTATTGTTTATTCACCGTTAGTTAATTATATATTTATTACTAATTCGTGGCCTGTTTGGCGTTATTCAATACACGGCGACTAACTTCCGCTTTCGTTTCACTGTCAAAATTACATTAGAACAATCAGATATAGTTTTCAAGATTTGCTCATATTAATTACTATTAAAGCGCGGTGGTCGTCGCGCAGCGCGTGTTCGAATTTCATTTAAATAAACAATGTATTTTACACGCGTAGTATATGTCGCTATGAGTCCCATATCGAACAAGACGCGGAACGACGACTGCCATCCTTTAAGCAATGAAGAAAATACCATCTCATCCAGTTACCTTTATTTACAGATATTCGTGAAAAACAACAAATATTTTCATTCGCATCGTGTTTTCGTTCACAATACGCTCGAGATATAAAGACTGTACCTCATACTATTTATTGAGGATCTGCGATTCGAGAGTCTTCGTTTTGTGGCGACATAAATATGACTATTATTTTGCATAAAGATATATAAAGGTGCGTTTATATGCCCGGCAGTTCATCGAGGTCGTTAACCCATCGTGATGGATGTGACACACCGGGTGGCAATGAATGTAATTCCTATAGCAGTTCACACTCATAACAATAATGGAACACCGCTATCAAACGTGCGACAGAGTATTTACTGCCGCGCGAGAGACGAATCGCTCCCTGTGGAGCATTTTATCGTTTTTAATGTGTGTAACATACTTCTTTTAGGGTTAGCTACTGGACTAAAAATAGGAAGTCAGGAGCGATCGAAATCAAAGAACTGTGAGAAAGGCAAAACGAGACCTGAATACAATGAATAATGTTGTGGAAAATGACACATTAACCAGTAAACGTATAAAAAAAAATCCCAATTGGCTGACCGTCAAATTTAGTTTCGTCACCACCTCTGCAAAGAATGGTCCAACCCTAATATCGGTTGGAAATTGAATTTGCGGGGTGGGTCGTCACCTGCGCACGCGTGAGTCTAAAGCGACGATAACAACACGCGCTAAAAACGCAAAGACTCTTGGCTAGACGCTTGTTTGTAAACAATGACACTCTATGGCCATCTGACGCATGCGCAGGTGATGACTCCCCGATTTAAATGTGACTACGATGGAATTTATACATTTTATGAGACATTCAAATGAGTCTCGTTTATAAGCTACAGTTACCTTAAACGCAAATGGCAGCGGAGATTTCGTTGAGAACGAGAGTACCGCATGACTTGTATCTGCTCCTCGCAAATAATGTTCTATTCTTTCTTCTCGTCACGTCTACTGTTCGAGATACCATGGTTACCAAGGGGCCAGAGGAACAGTGTTTGTGCCTAAGGTGCATTTGACAGTAGCTACTTTTTCCCTTTTCATTTAATTTTAAAGCGCGAGGGAGTCGTCTGCACACGTGACAGGCGATCATAGCATGTCGTTGTTCACAAATAAGCTTCTACTCATGAAAGGAAAGTGACTTTCTATTGAAAATGTATAACAACAACTAACCATACAAATGCAACGCGATAGTCAAAATCACCAAACAACGCGAATCGGCTGCAAAAGGTCAAGCACTGTAATGAAATATGAAACCAACATTGAACGTTACTATTTAATTAACTGATTCATTTTGATGAGCAAATATTCTCGTAAACTTGAACTCTACCGTGCACCAATCATACATACACCGTGAATTAAAATGGATTATAATTATAGTGATAGAATATATGAAATACTTGAAAAAAAATATTATATGTCAAGATCGTTCGTCATATGTTCCGATCAATGTTTTCCCCGCTATACTTGAAAATGATAACTGATAATTTTCAAGTAATATATATATATTAATTATGGAATTGGTAATCATAACTAATATATTGAATGTTGTTGGAGTGTCTATAAAGAGGGGAGGCAAGGGGGTAGCTGGTACGGTTTTACGGGAAATAAAAAGTTTTTTTTTTTACAATTTACAAGGAAAAAAGACGTTTTTA